ATTTTGAAATGTATTTAACCTCTTGTTATATTACGATTTTATTAAAGGTTCATCATTATTAAGAACTCATTTTACTGACACATATTTATGTACATATTTTGTATTTATTATATATTTTTATACAGTATTTATATTTACTGTTAGTTTTTTTTTTCCATATTACACAAGCCTGTTTTCGCTGATTCTACATTTAAACTGTCAAACACCAAGCGGTCACCGGTGACCGCAACCTATTGTTCTATAATTGTGTCTATAATGACGGTACTCAACGAGTTAACCCAAAGGTTGCCTGGGAGAAAATGCCATGTGGCATTAAGTCCGCCTTATGTAGGTACCTTATTTTTGTATGCATTAAGGAGTTAATAAATAAATAAAATGAAAAAAGAAAAAAAAATACTTAATTGATAGAACACTTTTAAGTCGAGAAAAATCTTTCTTCCAGCCTGTCTATGAAGAGAGATCACAGACCCATAGTAGGGTCACTAATCTCAAACGACAGCTGCTTACTTCCATCGCTAATGTAGTGAACGGGAACAAATCTGTGATACCCAGCTATCCAGCAACGGGCGCTCAACCAGATAACGTGATACTTATCAATTTACAGAGTCAATGGAAAGTGAACGAGGAATTTAATCATTTTTACTGTTACTGACATCGGTTAAAAGGGATTCTGAAGAATATTTTTGTTTAGATTAATCAACATAATTATGTATGTGCGGTGGATGGGTAACCGGCTGCCGTGCAACGTATCGCGGGTTCGATTCCCGCACGGAACAACACTTTGTGTGATCCATAAATTGTTGTTTCGGATCTGGGTGTCATTGTGTATGTGAACTTGTATGTTTGTAAACGCACCCACGACACAAGAGAAAATCCTAATGTGGGGCAACATTTCAAAAATGTAACTGGCGAAAAGTGGCTGTTATGTTTGATAACAGGGGTCTGAGCAAGTATGTCATAATATGTCTCTTCCTTAAAAGGTTAGCACAACATATTTATGCAAAGATAAATTAACATCTTTATTTGATATTCACATAATTATAATAAAGAAGGGATTATTAAATTAGTTAACGAAATTATAGATATTATTCGGAACATGAAGGACTTAACAAAAAGAATTGAACATTTAAATTCACACTAACATTGTCGAGACCTTACAAACTGTTCATGACCTTTTGATATCCCAAGTTCACAGAATTTACAAGAGTCATACAATGAGCTCACTTGATCGCGTGTGTATTTAAAATGTGAATATATTTTCTTTGAAATGTCACCCATTAAACTTAGTTCCACAAAGCGCTTGTAAACCAATCGACCTACATCGTGCACTAACAATTAGGTTGTAAAAAAACTATAACAAGTAATTACATCACGCTGTTTTCCTTCGAAGAGGTAGGCGGTGCACGTATTAAATGTTACATTTTATTCATCATCTGTTAAGTTGTGACACCCTTCTGAAACGTATCTAAACTTTGTTTTTTTTTAAATTTCATGGACCGACGTTACACCACTATCTCGCTTGGTAATAAGCGATGATTGCGGTCTACGATGGAGTATGTCGTCCCATAAGCAAACTATTCACTCGGGCGTTGAAGACACCCAGGTTATATCCTTCAGGAAATACAGACTCTGGCGAAGAATTCCACTTCGTCCGTTATTGAATTGCCTATATCAGTATATTTACTTAATAATAGGTAGGTACCTTCTCTGACCCACAATACTTCACTTCACTACATTCCCGTATTAGCGATAATGGTCATACAACTTACGAAAGCGAAGGTTTTCCTAATCGTAGAAACTCTTTACTAAGAACATACCTAATCAAATAGGTAAGACAAGGACGTTAAAAAAAAGGCAGACACAAATTCCTAAAACAAATTGGTACTTGGTTACTATAGACTTGAATTACACGCAGAACATAAACACACGCCCGGTATATGGCAATAGGCTCACCCCCTATTACATGGGACTCGTAACATAAATAGTGAAAAGTGGGTGTTACATTGTACAGTGGCATAATGTGCACCTCTGCCTACCCCTTCGGGATAAAAGGCGTGATGTTATGTTATGTCATAAACACATTGACACGAAGGACATCTGTCATTTTCCTAAGTCTGGTAACGTGGTACCCATTACACACGCACACATAACCCACTGACATTTTGGTACTTCAAATTTCTAACTGGCATTATGTTTGCCTTTTTCAACGCCCTTGCGTACAGACTACGGGGTTAGCGTAGTGTATCCACACACGCACCAACCAATAACCATACTACCTTTGCTTGTGTATACCTACCATCCATAAAACCGTGGCAACCCAATATCACGTAATGCATCGCCAGGGCCGTCTTAGACTACGCTGGGGCCCTTCAGCATACAATAATAAAGTAATTTCCTAAATTTTATTTAAATGTCCGTCTGGTACATTAATTTAAAACTTTAGACACGTATTTTTTCTTTTCCCACAAAATTAAATACTTTCGACGATATATTAATTTGAAATATCGTGTGACGTCACAGCGTGCCACATTTTTGTAGCACGTTATGACGTAACAACCTCCTATTTCTAAACTTAGCGCCATTTTATCTAAGTATTGCAACTTAATATGAGATAATAAAAAATACGCGTCTAATATTTTTCAATATCTCACTGACGGACAAATTAGATTTTTAATTTTGATTCCCTGGAAACTACCCAATTCCCTTTTGGATTGTTTCTTTTTTAACCTTGCCCCACACTAGGATTTTCTCATGTATCGTGGGCGCATTTACAAAAATATAAGTTCACATATACATAGACACCCAGACCAGAAACAAAAATTTGTGGTTCACACAAAGATTTGCTCAGAGCGGGAATTGAACCAGCTACACGTTGCGATGCAGCTGGTTGTCGCGCAACGTGAAGTGGGTGTGTCTATCGAAAAAACTGTGCTTTTTCGGGGCCCTGAGTACGGGCCCCAAATGCCCTTATGGCAAAGACGGTACTGGCAGGCTCCACACTACTTTTATTCCTTAATCCCCCAAATATGCAAGGTCCATATTTCAGGGGCTACGTGCATCTGTAGATAAGAGGCCATCAATCACACTCGGCTATAAACAGAGCAACACCATTACCCCCCCTAGTTGGAAAACCTTTGGGAAGCCATATTTCAAAGCGTGTTTATTATAGGAGGTAGCGGTAGTGTATTCTTTTTACGTTTATAGAGTGTGAAATTGATGGTGATGGCTTGTATTTATGAATGGCGGAATGCAGGTGGTGGAGATATGTAGAAAATAAAAAAAAACTACGAAAAACGTCGTAAATCTTTAACTAAGAAAAAAACTTTCTTATTACAATGAAATCGTACCTCTTTTTTCCACATGTGACACATATGACAATTATTAGTCCGACTGCAAAAGGAATCAGGCAAAATAGAAAATACCATAATTATGTAGATACCTACTGAAAATAATAATATGGTAACAAATACTACCAAGAATACTGACACTAATATGTTTCTCGAAACCTTGATCTCAGTGGCTTCAATAATAACTTAAAATTTTATTTATTTATTTACACACTTTATTGTACACCATAAAAACATACATAGAAAAATAAACATAAAAAGAATGTGTACAATGGGCGGTCTTATCAGAGAATGCAATTTTTTACAGACCTTTGGATGGAGCCAGTTATCAGGAGTTGACATTATGACAACAAAATGATTGCTAGTGCAATCATTTAGATTTTTATAGTAGAATTCTACAACTATGTAGAATTCTACTATCTAAATCTAATTAGGTATAGTGACTACATGAATTACTCCCAATATGAGACAGCATGAAATACGTAGGTAATATACTTCTCCAATGCATATTAGGTACCTTTTACCTGTATAAGAAAAAAAAGAAATTCTTCTAATACTATCTTGCCCCAAATATTTACGTGTCATAAAGAAGGTTACAAGTTATGTTGACCTAGAATTCGGTGGTTTTTTAACCGACTTCAAAAACAGGAGGTTCTTTGACCTGTATCTGTTATTATGTATGTTTGTACGATTATCTCGCGATGGACTGAACTGATTTTGATGCGATTTTCGAATAGTGTTTGTTAAAATTAAGTAAACTCCTCAGTGTAATGTAGTTATTGATATAACTTTCAAGTTTACATCAGTCCACCGCACCGGGTAAGATGAATTTGTCAAAATGTCGTGCTCTTATCTTTTTAAAATATCTTCAAAACATTGATCGACTTTCTAACAAAACCTTACTCCACCACAAATCCGAGTCGATTTCGTAATGCGAAAAATAATTCACAGCAATTCGAAACGGAATCGAGAGGAGCGGATAGCAGCGATGGATCTATCCGCAATTGCTCGGAATTCCGCAAGATTAACGTCTACTGGGTGGGAAGCACAACGTCCCCCCTTATTGGGATCCTGAGATCCTTTCCCCCTAAGGGAATGAGGATTCCTGCAGCCCTTATTGTGGTCCGTTATTATTACAAATGCCAATTGAGACGACAGATCAAACAATGGACCCTAACTAATTGCGATACAGAAGTAATCCATACAAATAGTAAAGTTGAACGTAATTGACTAAGTTTGTTTAGGGCTTTGTTTATTATATTTATGTTCGTGCTTAAAGTTTATATGAATTTATTGATGCTGATATTCTATTTAGGTTTATAAATGAGTTTTATTTTACATAACATAACATCACGCCTTTTATCCCCGTAAGGGTAGAGGTGCACATTACAGCACTTACTGTCACTGTACAATGTAACACACACTTTTCACTATTTATGTTATGAATCCCATGTAATAGAACCTATTGCCATATACCGAGCAATATTCCAGACTCAGTGCTACTACTGAGTATTTTTTTAAAAATCCAGTCTTACTTTGCCCGACCCGGGAATCGAACCCGAGACCCCTTGCCCGGCAGCACTGGCGACTACTTGGCCAACGAAGGAGTGTTATTTAACTTAGGACATTAGTTCTATAAATAAAAAAAACGAATAAGATTTTATATAAAGCTTGTTTATTAACGTCATGTTTTGCAAAATAGACAAATATACACTTTTAAATTGTCATTTCACTTAAAAAATCCGCATCAACATTTAACAATTAATATAATACATAATTACACACGCATACATGCTAACTTTAATACAGGAGACACGTTTACCATATATTACAAGACACTGCATTTTCAACCTTACAAACTAGATTTTAAAAATAATTTTCGCTGTGTAAAAGTTATGAAGAAAGTTAGTTCGGAGGCCGACGGTCTCGTAAAACATAGTAAATGTGTTCTAGCTTTTAAGATAAATACACTTTTTACAAACTCAGCTCTTTACATTACTTTCATTATAATATTCGTTTACTGTTAATAAAGATTCAATATTTCATAATATGTAGAACGTAACAGTTGGGTTTAAACAAATAAAAATATACTTAAAGTTATAAGACTAATTATTGTCGTGGGTTTTTTTTAATTTGGTTTCAAGTTTTTCCACACGAAAAATAATGTTTAGCGAAAGCGTAGCTGACTTCAAAACATGGATAGAACTATCTCCGTATTCGGTAAAGGACAAAACGTTGCATGCAATAATGAACCTTATTGTATTAAGTAACTAACGTACAATATCTATTATTTACATATCTTGAATTCGAGGAAGATTGCCACGTTAGTCTAGTTTCGTATTATTTCCTGATTCCTAAACATAAATAGAATAAATTTAAGACCTTCTACTCGATATATTAATTAAGAAAATGTCGTTGGAATAAAATAAATTGATATCACTTATAAAACAACATGTTTATTGTGATATTATTTCATAAATTACATAGCAAACCCACTTGGCAAATGAGACCAATGCCCGTTATCATCACACTCTCCTAAATTTTAGGGAACCCCTGAACAACTAGGTGATATTTAATGACATTTTGGATTTCACCAACTTATAAGTGACACTTAACAGTAAAAGTAAGGAATCAGTTTAGGAATTACATCACGCTAAGTAACTCTTAGGAGGTAATTCAGAGGTGGTTCGTGAAAACGGGCACGACTGTCTCAAATGTAACATCGCGAAGTTTTTCTAAAGTACAGTGACGTCATGATGCGCAACATTTGGTCCCGACCGACTACGACTAAGGCCTAATGTCCACAAGCGACGCGTTGTTTGACGAATACACGCAACCTACAAACAACGATAGGCTGCCGAGACGTTGCTGCTTCGTGGACATTTTTCATTGTTTCCAATCTAGATGTAAGCATTTGTCAAATTTGTAGGCCGTCATTTGTAGGTTGCATTCATCAAATGTCGTGTTGTGGCCAACAGGCCTTATATTATCATCTCCTTCAGCATTCTCCATCAAACCTTACACATACATTCCCTTATCTACACGTAATGGTATTTTAATAACTCTATTACGTATTCCCGTTTCATTATTCATACGACCAGTCTTATCCAGAATATTATTTTAATTTAGTACCGATAACATTTGCAAGCTAGTTTCAAATAAATAAATAAGTTAAGTAATTGAATCGCAACAGAATATAATAAAATAATATTATAAAGTCAATAGTATGAGTTGAATGTGAACATTTGTTAATTTTGCAGGATTTATTGTTAATTTTTTTGGATTTTCGACGTTTTAGACCCTCAACTCTAGAAATGACATCAACGTCTCGGAATGGGACAATTTATAAAAAAAATACAATAAAGACAAAACTAATACTTAAAATAAGAAATAACATTCTTAAATATAAATATGTAGTTTAAATTATAAAAGTGTTAGTGAATTCCCCAAAAGCTAATTCTGAGTGGAATCTGTCAATATATGCAAAATAAAATTAATACAAAGCACAATATTTTCCTGTCCCCGTTAATTATGAATGAACATTGAGCATTAACTAGTAAACCTCTTTATTTATAGCATAAGGATAAATATTGAACAACAATTCAAAGAATTCTTGTGTTGTCTTTAAGAAAATGCGAGAAATAAACACGATTTTATGTATTTCTAACTAATGGCATAAGGCCATACATACATTATGTTTTGTCTTTAACAACAAAAACAAAATAGTTGACGTCATTTCTTTACAATAAATTGTTTTGCCAGCAAAACCCAGTGATTTGATACAAAACTGTACAGGTCCAAAAATGTCCACCTTAATAATAATTACGAAAATAAATTAAATAACCTACTTGCTTATAACATTTATTAAATTTAAATTATGACTAGCTCTCGTAAAGGAAATCAAATGCACCACTTTTCAGTTCACTATTTTCTATCGTATGGCACTACATATTTTCGTCTATCAAGAATGTAGGTTCCGATGCAGAGGTCACATCAGCTAATGCTTAGATAAAATCATTAACTTGGTCATGTACTTTATAAAAATATTTAATTTTCTTACACTAAGTATTAACAACCATACGTTTAACAAGCGAGGCTGGGTTAGGCAGATCTTAGCCACGGCTGCCTTGAATAAACTCAAACATAATCAATATAACAATTGCATTAACTACGTAACTTAAATAATAAAGTAAGCCTTGTGTATCGTTGTATCAACTAGAGCACCCAGCCATAAAACACGGTAACTTAAATGCTTAAATTAACCTATAAACAGTTTGTTAGTTTATAGTACGTACAATTACACTAATTATAACTATCAAACAAACAATTCAAGCAAAACAAAATGACGATAGAACTTTCGCAAATAATATTATAAACAAGTTTTAAGGCTCTATCACAGGAATGAAATCATGAATGAAGTTCATACACCTTTCACAGTTACTCCGCAATGCTTTGAAGATTTCAATGTGAGCGGTTTCAAAGCAAATCGTAATTTTTATTTACAACATTTTATGGACTGATGTTAAACTCAATTCGATCAAGAATTATTACGTTGTGATGCTTTGCAAAATAACTTTTAACAACAAGTATAACATAAATATTTACATCTAATTAAAATTTCTAATAGACTCAATCGCCCACATCTCAAGCATCGTTAAGAACTTAGACTTATAATAACATAAAATAGTTAATTATTTTGCCTTCATATTCATATAGTTGAGGAGCACCACTCACCGCTAAATCTTCAAAGCCAATAATACTGTTACCATTATCAGTCTCGAGTGTATTACCTTGAATGCGAACAAGTTGTTCACGAGACGTGTCTTGTTCACTATCATTCACTTGATCACTGACTACATTGTCGTTCACTTCACTGCACTACACATAGTCCCTTCTCCCAGCGCCTGCGATGATACTATTTCTTTCACTCACTACAGACACTTCTGAGCCGTCCTTTTTCCTTTTGCAGGTCGAGAAGAGATGTGAGGACTGTTAGGAAAAATAATTATTTTAGTCAAAAGACCTTAATGCGAATTCCTCTGTATTAGTCGTTTTAGATACAATTGCACCAATCCGTTGCAACATTCAACCACACCTATTTTTTATCTCTAACCAGACGTAATTTACAATGCACGTAAATATTTGAACATGAAATATTACTTTGTTTGTTCAGGGTGTAGCCCAAGGTGACATTTTAGGTCCAATATTACCTGGAACGACTGTTAGGTGAATTGATATATCTTGATTGATTACGTCCATCTAGTATTTGTTTTTGTAATCTATATCTATCCTATACTGACCTTAACAAGAGAACGGACGGGTTGTTGTAATACAAATATAGCAAAGATGACGACTCCTTGCAGTGCGTTGACGAGGTCGAACACCGACCAAACGGACATGACGTCAGAGCCTGCACCTGCTGCCCATGACACTACTTCCAGTACCCACGACAACCCCATGATGAACGAGAGGAGGCAGCACATACGGAACCTGGCAACAAAAAGGTTGTATTAATATAGAATCGGATGAATAAAAATTGAAAGGAACACAGAACTAAAACTATATTTTACCTCGTAAAAATACCAAAAATATGTTTTTGTAAGCCATCCATGATATGTGATGAAATCTCAGAATAGATTTTTGAAACAAAGTTTGTATGGTGTCATAAAACTAAGGCATACTTACAATTTCTTGTACTTCTTGAGCCTCTGATTGAAATTCGTGGGAGCTTCTTGTGGTGGTGAAGATGCTGTTTCTGGTACTGGCTGCCCAAGTACTGATCTGAGCCGTACCCAGTCATCTGACGTACTGAAGTCTGAGTGTGTCAGATCTAAAGCTATTGAGAAGAAAAAATGACTTTATAACCTAGACCTTGTACCCTTTGAAATAGAGAAACAAACTATTTACCTAAATGCTCGTTATATTTAATGGCTGACTAATTTAATTTAATCTTTGAGAAAGGTAAGATAAGATGGTTCATAAAGTAGTACTACTTAAGGATAAACGAGTAGAAACTTGTTTAAAATAACACGGAGATCATAAGTCAACAGAGACTGACACAGGATAACAAAATACCCGAAGAATGCATGCCAAAATAGAGCATTAAATCGCAAGTCACGATCCTTACAAGCGAGGGAAATAACTAAGAAAAGGACAATGACCGATGTGAATTGTCACTACAGCTGTTATTAAGCTTAGCATTTTACAAGGAAGTATCTTCCTTGTCCAAATTCTGTCAATATTAACAGCTGTTACTAATTAGGAACAATTGTTTCATTATTTCAATTAGCAAAGGGTTTCTTTAAAATTGAAATTTCTGGTCAGGCTTATGTTGACGTATATTTTTCGACATTAAAGATGTGATCTACTTTAGTGACGAAAGAATTTATTATATATACAATTAATAATATATTAACTATTACTAAATGAAAATATATACAACTTAAAATATAAATAACTATGAAGTAAAATATTTACACCTTAAAAAATATAATAAATTAATAAGCTATAATAAGGCATAAAAAAAAAAATTTTCCTCGTCATTATCGTGAGGTAGGATGCCCAAAAGTGACGAAAGTACAGTAATAACTTTTAAAGGTTGAGAACTCATAGTTCGGTTGTATTCTGTCGTAAAGCTAATTTTTGGGGAATTTATAAATTATTTTAAAATACAATTTGTACATATACTAAACTAATAGTTTACTTTAACATAGTAAGAATAGTCTTCATGATGTGAACAATAAAATAAAGATAGTAACCACATGTTTTGCATACGCAAACCTACGACTTATCTATAAGGAAGGATAAACCTTTGAAAGTATCCAATAATGAGCTAGGAATAAGGAAAACATATCATAAGAAATAAGTTAACTAAACAAATGTCAAATAAAATTAGGTAAACGTTTCGTGTTTTATGATGTTTATGATCCATTATCATCATTCTTATCATCATCTTTAACTGTGAGAGAGCTATGTTTAGGCACGAATGTGCTGTCTCGCTCGGAGTGATACCACGGCAGCTTAGAAAACCAGCCTGAAACAACGCTTGCGTTGTGTTTCGCCGTGGGAGTGAAATTACCAGAAGCCCAAATATCCTTCCCAATCTCCCCAATCCCTGAATCCCTAACAATTCTCAAATTCTTAATCCCCAAAAGGCCGGTAACGCACTTGTAACGCCTTTGGTGTTCCGAGTGTCCATGGGTGACGCCAATTGCTTACCATCAAGTGATTCTCAACTCGTCTACCAGCTTAACCCGTAAAAAACAATCGCCCATCTACTGTTTGTTATTTCATTCAAAAAAATATATATTATATTATCGACTACAAATAGACTTTAGTCTTAATATTATCTATCACTATCGCCATCCAACGTTAAAGTTTGGCGAGTTTAGATTTAAGGTGTGTACACCTAACTAAACCTATGTAAAATTTCTCTAAATAAATTTGTTTATAAAAAAACTTATTTCGATAGTTTTTCATCAAACTAGAAAAGATACATAAGACCTACTGATATGAATAAAGAACCTTAATTTATACTTACGAGTAACATCCTTTAGTTTATCGTAATGTGTAGCTATGGCTCTTGATGTGAAGAAAAATATACATAGGTTACTGAAGAGGATCAGTGCCACTGGTCCATAGAAGTATGGTAATGCTGCTTGATCCGCTGTGAAAAAAAAAATTATTAAAATATACGTTCGACACATTTCAGATAAGACACTTCTCTAAATTACTATAACTATTTTGGGTTTTTCAGTAACGGTAAAACGGGGTGAATAGAATTCGAGGGATGAATAGATACAGGAATGGGGTGAATAAATGTTACAATATTTTCCCTATATTTATTCACCCCTCTTCTGTATCTATTCACCCCGTTTTACGGTAAGTGTTTATTATCCGGTTTGTAATATAAAGACTTAACATAAGTGTTTTCACCTGCATAGTCAAGGAATTATAAACAAAAAAAATAAAGTACTTATATATATATATATTGTGAAACAGGAATAACTGCTATATAGGATGTTATGAAAGTGTGCCTATGCATCTGTTCCTACTCTAGGGAATTAAAAAGTGTGTCATTATATTTTTACCTACTGCTCAGGTCAGAGCTTAGATTGTATTGATTGTAATCCTTCGAAATAACTATTTATCTTTACATTTTACGAACCTTATCAAACTGAAAGTATTTTTATTTGTTTTCATTCAACAATCTTACTGAAAATCAAACAAAAATGCAATTGATAATAAACGGATTTCACTAACGAACTACGAGCAAAAAATGTCACAAATATCTCGAACAAATATTGAATTTAATGAAGAAAAATATTTTGAAAGCTAATAGAAAGTAATACTTGTCTGAATTGTAGAAAGAAGATTGAATTATCTGTTCGATGTTCGAACTGACGTAGATATAAAAATATTATTCAGACAATGGTATCTACGTTTAAAAATATCCTCAAGGAGCATGAAGATCTTACTACATTAAGTAAAAAATATGACCTTTACTTATATATTTAATAATATTCTAGTATTATTGAACAGACAACTGCGTATAAAATCTTCCTACGTATTAAATTTTTTCAAAAGCCTGAATCCCAAAAATACTATACTCAACCAAATAATATAGTAATATTATAAGATCCACTGTCAGGCATATACTTCCAACCACTAGACCAGTAAAGAAACCTTATCAATACAAACCAACTGCACGGTTGGCGCAGTGATTGGGCAACTGACTGCCGCGCAACGTGTGGCGGGTTCGATTCCCGCACGGAACAACTCTGTGTGATCCACAGATTGTTGTTCCGGGTCTGGGTGTAATGTGTATGTGAACTTGTATATTTGTAAACGCACTCACGATACAGGAGAATATCCTAGAATGGGGAACGTTTAAAAAAACTGACCAAAAATCTCCATAGTACTGAGGCCTTCGATCAATATTTTGTTGATCGAAGGCTGAGGCTAAGAAATCATAAAAAAAGGTTTGACTTGTAATAAAAATCCAACTTACTTTTAAACCAGCATCCCTTGACCCCGAAGTTAGGCTTCAGATAAGTGCTAGGCACTGCTGGTGAGAGATCCATGGTGATGGTCACTATGAGCAGTAGTATTGGAAAAAGGACTGCATACACACAGTACCACGCGAATCTTCGTCTCATACTGCGTCTTGTTACTGATGCGTTTATGTACCTCCTGCATAAAGACAATAATTTATATTTTCATTCTCGTCTGTTAAATAAATTAAAAAGTAAATTAAACTAATTTTTGGAATATCATATGGTATCTAAATACATAAAGCCTATAAGTAGCTACTGCTGAGCCTATTCTTGCACGCAGAAGGCTTGAGCATTAGTCACAACGCTTGCTCAATGTGGGTTGGCGATTTCAAACTTATAATTATAAGCCCAGGTTTCTTCACGATGTTTACCTTCACCGTTTCTTAGTCATAGGTAGGTTTTGCACCCGCACTCTCGAGCATGAAGCGAACGTCTTAAACCTCCGGGCCACCACGACAATACATAAAGTAAATTACTGTTTTAAAGTTTCCTCTAATCTCTTTTAACATGATATTCATAAGTATACAAAGGGTTATGAAATATGGGGCAACCCCATATCAACTCAATGCTACTGAACATTTCAATAGCTGAACATTTGAACCCCATACCTTTTGGTCAACTACTGAACTTACGAGAACTCACAAAGAATCACCAAACCGCAAACAATTGTGAAATTGTACATTCAAACCTTTCCATTATTTAGGTACTTACAACAAAAGTCTTAAAAAGGTATTATTCAAGCGTAACAAAGCAACGTAACAAAATAATAATCGACACAATTTTCGAAATATCACTTACGAATACTTCACACGTAAACACTTAACATAATAACCGTTAAAAGCTCGATGAAGTAGCTCATAAAGTAACGAGAAATAAATGTAATAACGATACATTTAATATCGTTATATTTAACAATGGAGACGGAGTACTTACCGAACATTCAGGAATATATCGAAACACATCACGTTCAGCCAGAAGAAACATGACACGAATGAAAACTGAATCAAGTATGCTGTAACAAAATTATTTGTTAGATATCATATATTTGTGTTATTCTATAACATGACCAATTTTCGTCATCATCAACCTATTAGCCACAAGCTGCCCTCTGCTGTACATAGAGCTCCCTCAATAATTTCCAAATTGAGCCGGTTGGAAGTGACCTAAATATAGCGATTGTCACCTTGATTAGATATTTAATTAATTGAAACAGTTTAACTCGTCGAGTACCGGTTTTCACCGGTGACCGCTTGGTGTTTGACAGTTTAATATCCCATCGAAACATGACATTACAGCAGCTGAATTAGCTTGAAAATAACGACTTTGGTACAACAAAAGTTCATAGATTAGTTTTTATATTTACACCTCTTCACTGCTGCCTCGTTGGCCGAGTGGTCGCAAGTGCGGCTGCCGGGCAAGGGTCTGTCTCGGGTTCGATTCCCGGGTCGGGCAAAGTATTACTGGGTTTTTAAAAAAATCTTTTCAATGTGTGCCCGGTATATGGCAATAGGCTCACCCCTATTACATAGGACTCATAACATAAATAGTGAAAAGTGGGTGTTACTTCTGTGTGCACCTCTGCCTACCCCTTCGGGGATAAAAGGCGTGATGTTATGTTATGTTACCTCTTCATGTATTTTCCAAAACACCAACTATGAAGGTACTGAGTGTCGAACAGATTACGTAACACTCAATATTACTGACTAAAACTACTTTAACTAGCAATAGCTGGTTAAGAAGACACGAAGAACTAGATAATATACTAGATAGTTATTAGAGAAACACGGATTGAAACTGATTAATGATGATGATGACTATTCTCACAACTTACCCATAACAGTGCAAGCAGCAGCAGGGAATGCATGGCCAGCAAGTTGTGTGGCTGCTAAACATGTGAATGCCAGCGCCAGACACACAGTGTGGCAAGCCAGGGCTTTGCCATGAGTATCCCGTAGCTCCGTGATGAATAGGTACACTGAGGCCGTCGCCAATAGGAACGGTACTGATATTAGCAAACCTGGAAAAAAGATCAGGTTAGTTTTGGAAATAAGCATTATGTAGTATCAACATGCGTCATTTCGTCATTTTTTATTGATTTTAAGGTGTATTATTTTGCAATGAAGATGAAAATCCATTAAATAGTTTTGTCAGTTTAAGGTAGCTGCCTTTCTCTTTGCTCCCGTTTATTTACAACTGCTTACATTTAAGTATTATTTTATAGAAATAAATAAATACCAATAACAAGATCAGATAATATCTTTGAAGTTGTGTCTTATTCAATTTCACTTAACTAAATGTTTCATATTTGTTTAGATTTCAATAAAGATCAGAAGGATTGGAAAGTGCTCCTTACAAAATTGAATAACGAGATGTTATTAATTAAAGTACCTACAATTTATATTTCTTGCCCTCACCCCGCCTTGGGGTACAAATTCTTTAATGAAACCTATTATGCTCAAATAAGTTTTACATAAAAGGCTGGGAAAGTTGTGAAAATCTTCGGAGAACTACAACAACGATCAAATAGTTATGTAACTCGGTAACTAGAGTATTCGAAACAAAGTTAACAATTTGTTCTTGTTGGTAACAAAACAAGAAAAAGTGGAATCAATTAATGATCAACTTCGTATTTATTTGGGACGGAAAACACACAGTTGTTGATTCCCAAGAGAATCACATGGGAAATTACTTATTATATTGTGTTTACGTAAATATTGTATGAAATACATTAACCAGTGTACAAAATACAATCATAAAATATTAGGCAGTTCTTTCGAACAAAATTGTAGTCATTTCATACAAAAATAATATATAAATTAAAAACAGAAACCTTGATTTTACGGATCATCTTATCGCTTGAAATCTGCATTTTATCAGTAATTAAAAAGGAAATCCTGATAATAAAGATAAATCACTTTAAATATTTGCATATAATAAATTATAGATAAAGAATTTGATGACATAGCCAGACATTATTTCTAGTTGTGATATAATATTTCATAATAATTGTAAAGACCTGCATTTTCATTTCCGGAATTTATTTTATGATTACGATATGATAATGCCTCACAAATCCCAACTTTTAAAACTATGGAGCATAGACAAAGACAATACCTACCAGCGACCGACTACAAAAAGCAACGAAACTTTAGTTTCAGTACGTCTACGACATAAACAGTATATGTATCTGGCAATGAAATTAATCAGGAGATAATTGGGATGATGACAGGATATGAAAATTAAAAAATACGTGTCTAATATTTTAAAATAATCTACCAGACGGACATTAAAATAAAAATTAGGCATCTCCCCTTCGATTCCATTCGAAGAGATAAAAAAGAAATCCTATTTTCGGGACATTAAAGTTTACTTTGATTCTGTAAATACAAACCTGTAGCATAGGCGATGAGTGTAGACGATGTCTTTGTGTCCTCCATAGGAGTATCAAAGCAGACAACTGGTAAAGTAACTCCTGCTGGTGTCGACTCGTTCCAAAATGTCTCCATGCAATAATCCCGTGTACCAAGAAGGTAAGGTCTTGAGTACGGAACAAAGAGAGACCCATTCACCAGAAGGTAAAACTCATCTTCACTGTGTATATCTGGTTCTAATTTGTACCTACGGATAAAAAAATAATCATTAGTATATATTTTACATGTAGGTATGTATGTACATTTTCTGAAAATTTCCTTTATAATTTTGCGCCATGGGTAACATTTCACTTAGAACAATTCTGCAAATGCATGAATTGTGTGCTTTCACTTTTCGATTAATGCTGAAATCATATAAGTATGATATATCTACAATAAACTTGACCTTTAGCTGTCTCTCTATAAATATCTTTGAATATTTTAACCAAAACCAGTAAATTACTTAAAAATCTAAAGCTCTGCAAGAAATCCATTTGTAAGTACACAATAAAAATAAAAATATTTCTTTTCACTATATCCACCCAAAGGTTGTCTGGTAGAAATCACTATAAGTGATAAGACCGCCTTTGTGCCCATTATTATTTTTCTTTATGTTTGTCATTTCTTTTTCTGTATGTACTATATTATTAATGGTGTACAATAAAGTTATATAATATTCTATTCTATCCTATTCTAAAAATAACCTAAGCATGCCAATAAAAACGAACACAAACTCCCAGATCCAATTAATTAAAATTATTTCTCTATTGATTTTGGTACAACACATGTATTGAAACCAGACTCACAATTTCATGGATGAAGAAATGAGTCTACATTTTCTAATGAGCTTAGGCACTTTGAAAAATCTCTTACACAAGATTACTAAACATTGGACACGGCTTATCACCATTATCGTAATTGGGTAGTCCCCAATAAAATGTGATTATTTATTAGTCATTTCTGCAAATTGTTATGCTTTATCTTTAAATGATAAGTAAAAATGTTGAATGCTATGCGATTATTACGTAAACGGATGTGTACTTACGACACCGTTTAGTTATATTAAAAAATTAGGCATACTGTGACTGTTTTCACGAATCGTAGGAGCGATTCCGATAGGAACCATCTCTTAACTAAAAATTGCTTAGCTTGACGTAGCGCTTGAACTAACCCCTTACTTGTACTGATAGGTGTCACTTATAGGTTGGTGAAATGCAATAAAGTTACACATAAATTATTAAAACTCACCAACAGCCTATAAATGCCCACTGCTGAGCAAAGCCTCTTCTCACACGAAGAAGGTTTGAGCATTAATTGCACACGCTTGCTCAATGCGGGTTGGCGATTACAAACTTATAATTGGAAATTATAAGCCCAGGTGTCTAAATAATCTTAGAAAGTACATATAACTCGGAAAAAGTCACATTGGTACTTGCCGTTGGTAGGTTTTGAACCCACATTGTCATGCATGAGAAGCCAGCGTCTTAAACCTCCGGGCCACCGTATTATTAAAACTAAACTAATATAAATACTAAGAATAAGAACGACTCTTACTTCTCATAGCGGCATGGGTTCCCAACAAGGGTCTCGTAGACATTAGTATCATAACTGAAGATGTGAGTCTCATTCGCTTGATGGAACACTGGCTGGAAAGTCAATGTAGACCGGGAGCAGACTGTCTTCACAGTCCCATCAACGATCTCCACCGTAAGGTTCTGTCCACTTGGACAGCATTTGGGGACTACTGCCACCTCCTTCGCTTCCTGGTCCTGTGAACAAAACAAAAATCTAATTAATAAAGAAATATTTAGTTAATATTCAAACAACCAGAGTAACTGATTTCAAAACAAAACGAGGACAAGTGCCTATTTGAAGTACAGTAAATTATACATGTAGCCTCAAAATTATCCGTCTTACGAATAAATTATCGTAATTGAGTTGAAAATTAATAATTCAAGTAGTTTCCGTAGTAAATTGATGGGTATACCGTCGAATGATAAAAATGTCGAGCAAGTAATATTACCCAAATTATGTTAAGTAAAGACCCTACTCAAACAAGAATCCAATTTAATAGTCATTATTTGGAAGCCCACTTAGAATTTAGTCACATAATGTTTTTTTAAGACGTGACGTTATATTTTAAATTGGGTCATGCCACAGATCTACGTAAGGACAAGATAATTATGGATGTCATTCAGACGATGATAAATTGCGACCCAGTGTAGCTGAGTCCCATCAAAATTCATCATAAGTATTTGAACTTTGACGCACATAAAAGAAATTCAACTGAGGTTGATGACGTAAGACGTTCATTTAGAATCGGTCACGTCTTTCAGAATAGTTAATTCTTGAATATTACTCGGCGAAGCACAGCTAAAGACGAAGGGTTGAGAGGAGGCCAACAAAAGTCAAATTCAAATATTGTAATGAAGTTTGAAAATATATCTCCCACTTTAATTCAAAATTTTGCTTAATAAACAAGTTTATTTATTTGGAAGGACGCTTTAATGTCAAGATTTATTCAACAATTAATTTGAATCTCAATACAAGTTGGTGTTCTACTGATTCTGATATACTGACCATTATCAATATTTATGGCGTAAACTCATCTCCTACAAATATATATTCATTTACGTTTTATACGAAACGTTTGAGCTCACACGTTACTAAACTAATTCATTAAAAATACTATCAGATATAAGTAATATCAGAAATAAGTAATAATACATAAAATAATAATATTAAACGTCGATTTACTTCCAATTGGGCTAAGGCCAGAAGATTTGTTTGGCATTTTCATTGAAATGTAAAAATAAAAGTAGGCAGGTACATATTTTCAACCAGTGAATCAGTAGTTGATATAAATACTCTGTACAATGTTCCGATGTCGGCGAATGCCAAATGTACTCCAAATAATTATACAAAGTGAGAAATAGAGTAATGTATTACGTACAGTCTGGAGTTGAAAGAGCTTTGTTTATTGCAAAAAAAATCTAAGTTTGGACTGACTTATTTTCCTCCTTCGGTTCTCACTAATAAATAGTTACATGAAATCAGTATGTTTATAGTTACGTAATAAAGAACAGCACCATTTTTCTTACTTACATTCACCTAACATTTCGGCTGAATACAAAGCGAATAACAAATACCAAAATAGGAGAAAACATCAGCCTACGAAAGGTCGCCTACGTGCTACGGAGTTCGGTCGGTACATTACATTTCGTTCAGCTAAAATGTAGTAAGAAGCTGGTATCGAACGCCACGTCTGTCACGCGTCTTGTTACGAACGTGCCCGCAACGGTAATGAGACAACTGGTGACATTCAACATCCCGAGTCCGTGTGTAATGCACAATCTATGGAGTGATAGATTCAAATGGAACAGTCTACCAGAAATAGGAGCTTTGTTCTATATTTTGTTCTATTTTTGATAGAGTTCTAGAACACTTTGCGTAATAGTCGTAACTTTTTCGTACTTCGAGCTCGTTCTTCATGCTCCGATATATTTCGAAACTAGACGACCAACCCTCTAATAGTTTACGTTAATAAACCATACTTTGTTGACTCTTCGGTTAATTATTATAATTGAGGCACTCACTATATTCTTTTGACGTGTTAAAGATACTCTTCATCTTCTTTACAGCGATTTTTGACTAATCCTAATCTAAAATTTAGTTTTTTGAGGTTATGCACTTACCCCAATTAAATAAATATCCTAATTTCATACTTATAAAGTAGTAATTACATTAACAAAGAAACAGAAGTTCAGAGCCACCCAAAGGGCTTCCAAATATAGGCATATTTGTTCTTCATTTAGAAGATTTGTTTCTAAGTGGGTGATCACGGTACTCTGTTTGTGAATCGTATGTGTTTAGGGAAAGTTGTGATTTTTCTTGTAAACACGCTTAAGTATCAGATTAGGTTGTTTGCTGTAGATCTTTGTGGAGGTCGGAACTTAGACCTCACGCGGAATTACGTACGTATAATAAATAAATATGGTTTGGTATGGTTAATGATACTATTTTGTAAATGGTATGTTTGGGCCTTTTTGGAATGGAATTATACCTGGTGTATACGGAAAACTCACCACCTAATCTGAATGAGGTTCATAACATAAGCGAAGATTTCTTTTTCGCAAAATATAAGTTTGTTAAAATGATGTCAATATACTACTTAGTTAGTCACTTACCTTACCATGGTCATGTAATTACGGTAGACCAAAGAACGTAAATAAATAAAATTGATAATGTCTAGCGTCTTCTATACCTTTTGAGAATACAAGAGCAACTCCAGCTCAGCTAAATAAATATAATTACGAAACAAAAAGTCTCATTTGACGAACAAAAGCTTAGAGAGCCGTTGAAGTCGGAAACTCGCAGGCTTCCTAAATATTTAGAACAATTCGTTTCTTTCTAAGGATTCTTTATGGAAATATCCGAGAACTGAGGACTGTGACGACACAAGACAATTTCCACGAAAATTTCGCAAAGGGAACACTAAAAATACTCGAAAGAGGTTGACTTTTTTTAGAAAGGATTTCCTGTTTGTAATTTAGACGTAAGGACGCTGTTACATAGACATTTCTAATGATAACTAATTTCATATCTATTCAACATCGCCAAAAGACAAAAAAATACAGTAAATTTTCTTAAAAAACTAAATATATTTACTTAGACTTATTTGCTACAGCCTATTTTAAACTGTCAAATACCAAGCGGTCACCGGTGACCGCAACCTATTGTTCTATAATTGTGGCTACAAAACCGGAACTCGACGAGTTAATACAACATAATGAGGGACAAGGATATAAATATCTTGCGGAAGCAAAAATCTCTTGAACTTTTCTATCTTCATCGGAATCATCATTAAAACTGATGTGCTAACCTGAAGGTATAACATTATCTATCTACCTCCAAAACATATACCTTCACCTGCCTAAACTTTGAAATTGCTGACAGCCGATAGACCAAAGAGAGACGCTCAAGCACCAACTTGTAATATTATAAATGACTAGCTGTTGCCCGCGACTTCGTCCGCGTAGATTAATGCCTTCTGACAGAATTCATCATAATCAATTCAGTGCCCAATTAAGATTTACCTATTGTGAAATGATTTATCGTAATTTCAATAAATTAAAAATCCCGCAGGGTTCTTACCAGTCCCGGCCCGATCACGTAAGTTTTGAGTAATAAAAACTTCGACTGTTGTACAGAATCTCTATGAAATAAGTTCAGTGGTTAAAAGATAGAGAGTCCTGGAGCATTGACGCATAGTTCCCGTTCCCGAGGGACTTCTGAGATAAAAACTATCATACGTTACTCAGGTCCCAAATCATCGTTTTACCGAATGTAATTCAAAAAGATTCAATGATTCTAGATTCAATTTTCATTCCCATTTTCACACCAACTATCATTCCCTATTTTATCCCCTTAGGGGTGGAATTCATCAAAATCCTTTCTAAGGAGATACCTATGTCATAGTAACTTTATGCATGCAAAGTCTCAGCCCGATCGGTTTAAAACTGGCAAAGTATCACACAAACTTTCACCCTCTATATTACCCACTTTGGGGTGGAAATGTTCAAAAACCTTTCTAAAGGGACGTGTACGTCATAATATCTACCTGCACGCCGAATTTCAACCCGATCTGTGTAAAACTGACAAAGCCTCATACAAACTTTCATCCCCTACATTATCCCATTGGAGTTGGAAATGATCAAAATCCTTACTTGGAGATGCCTACGTCATAA